CATCCCAACTGACTTCAACTCCATCATTTTCCAGAGGGGTAGGTATACCACCAACCAGCTTAAAAGGTTGAATCCCCATAGAATCCCTATAGAATCCCCATAGAATCTCTATAGAATCCCCATAGAATCACCATATTATACACTAACACACCCACACACATATGTGTGTGTGTAAGCCTTCGCCATGTCCCCTGAGGCGCTCTGCAAACTCCTGGCGGAGCATCTGCTGCCGCGTTCCGCAGCGGCGCCGGTACGTCGCCTGGGCGAGGCGAAGGGATTGCCCTGGGGAAAAGATGGGGAAACGGTAGGAGTTGCGTGGCCACAAATGGGGGGAAAGCTTGAGTTACCCTCTGGTAAACATACAAAAATCTATGGAAAATTACCATTTTGAATGGGAAAAGCGACTATTTCTATGGCCAGTTTCAATAGCAAACTGGTAGTTTACCAGGCCGGGTAAACCTTGGGATTTTTCTTGGGATCAAAACACTGAAGGAACTTTTAAAAACATCAGATGATTTGATGATGAATGCACTGAACACTAGAGGACGCATGGCTGGCCATCTCCAGGTTTTGACCCAAGTCGGTCTGCCAAGCAGGGGAACCTGGCACAGGGGCTGAGTTTTCTGGCTTTGGAACCACCAAAAGATGTGTGTTTCTGTTTGGTGAAATGGAAAGGTAGGAGAAAAATGGGAGGAACAAGACTAGACACTGTTTGAGAGCATGTTTGGAAGTAAAATCTGACTTTCCAACTCAAATTTGCATTCTTCTGGTTGTCTTGGGGAAGGTCCCGGGAGTTTTTTTGCTGAAAGGATGTAAGCATCCAGCAACAATGATGTTACGCGACGTTGCACTCATGTTTTTCATAAGGTAAAGAATGTTTGGACATGTGCATCTGAACATGTGTGGTTGTGGTTTACATGTTTTTTTGTTGCAGTTGATTCGTATCACGAGTGGGTTGTCAACCAACAAGAATACAACTTATGGGGGACCACATTGTAGGACTAGCGATAGGGATTATATGGATTGTCATGTCATAGGATATGTTTAAACGCATGTTGATTGAACCAACGTTGCCATTTTTTGGGTGCACCACATCGTAGCCATATATCCACCATTGCCATCGCCTTCAGCAGCTCAATCACCGCTTTTTCCAAGCGGTATTTTTATTCACGGGACCGAACCAATGACGTTTTTTCGAGCCTTCGGGGTGGCCTGTTGCGGACTGGAAGGGGGGAGGGGGGACAAGGTGGTGCCCCATTCGGCATCTAAGTCGGTTTATGTCTAGATTAGCTAGGCTTATTGGTGCTTGGAAACTATGTGGTGGGCCAAGCTAGAAGCAGGGGCACCACCTTGTTGGCTTCTTGCTGCGATGGGACTCAGGGGTGTCAAGGCGAATTTCCCATTCCAAGGTTAGATTGTCAAAGGGTCACTGAGGTAGAAAGCAGCCGAAAAAGGATAAAATCAGAGATATGATCAGCACGGATGCAACAATCTTCAGCCACATGGGTACCCCCAAACCAGGCAGTTGAGTGGGGAAATTGATGACTAACCAGTGGGTACCATAGTTTTTTGAGAAACCAGGCAGTGCCTATCGACAGTTCTGTTTAAAGGAGCTGGATTGCTTTGGAAATGTTAGGAGCAGAGATTGAGAGGAGTTTGAGTTTTGTGCTGCTGACTTTGGTCATGAAACCGGTTGTGCTACAGCCTATTGATGCCTATTGGCTGTCACTAGAAAAGTTTAACAAGGAATCCTAGAATGGTAGTCTCCAAGACAGTGCAAAAACAAGTCTTCTGGAAGATGGGGAGAAATTAATAGGTTGTGTTATAACCGCCGTGAACAAAAGGTAAAGTTATATCTATCTGGTTGGTGGTCTGGAACATGTTTTCCATATATATCGGGAATGTCATCATCCCAACTGACGAAGTCCATCATTTTTCAGAGGGGTTGGTCAATCACCAACCAGAATAAATGGTGGATTCTCCAGCCATAGAGGGTAAAGCATCTTTGATATACGGTAAACCATCAAGAGATGGAAGCGACATCACACCAGCCATGCTCTACCCTCCAGTAAATTAACATAGACCCCGCCAGATAGGGGTTGGAAGACCAGTTTCCACTATAAACTGGTCATTTTCAGGGTTCAGCTGTTAATTTACTGGAGGGTAGAGCATGGCTGGTGTGATTAATTGATATCCATCTTCCGAAGTCTTCCTATTTCCGGTCCAGGAATTGTAGTACATGGCACAGGCATCCGGCCCCATTCCTTCACTATCTAAGCCATAGTGCGCCGTTGATAATAAACGTCGTGTACTTGATAGATATGTCATATGCTTATTCCCAAATTCGTCATTTTTCACGGGAAGTCGGATGTCCTATGGATTTCCCATCATCTTCAGATGTTTGGAGGTTTCCTGAAATGGGGGGGTACCCTAAGAATCAATTTGAATAGGTGTTTCTATTCAAAAACCATCCAGCTATTGGGGTACCACGGGGTACCCCTATGGAAAGCCACATTTCTAGATGTCTTCCAACTTGTCACCATGGTTTTTTCCCAGGTTTTGCTGGCTGCGAAGGCGGCCAGTTCGGCCAGTTCCAGCTGTAGCTCAAACTGGGATGCGACGGAACTGTTGCAGAGTCAGATCAGCAAGGCTTCGACGTGGCTGGAAGTTTGGGTGGGAAATTTCCATGGAAATTCGATGAGAATTTCCATGGAAAATCCATAGGGATTCCATGGAAAATCAATTGGAAATGTCTGGATAAAATATGATAAAATGGATGCCATAGTCCACAGTTACATATAGTTACTGTACCCCGTGAAGTGATGGTATAATGGTGATATTGATGGTGATATGGAATGGAATATGAATGGAATGTCTGGATGGAAGCCAGCTATACCCAGAGTCTGTGTTGTCAAAGATGGGAAGTTAGCCAGCATAAAATAATGGTAGAAGGGTGATATAATGGAATATGAATGGCGATATTGCCCTCTGGTAAACATACAAAAGACGATGGAAAATCACCATTTTTAATGGGTAAATCATGGTCAATCCACTATTTCTATGGCCATGTTCAATAGCAAACTGTTAGTTTACCAGAGGGTAATATGGAATATGAATGGAATATTCATGAGGCTCCATGCATATTAGTTCACCCCTCGGAACCATGGTGGATGTAGTGGATGAAATATGATTTCCATCACATGTTTGGGATGAATGTGCATGGTGTGGGCGATGCGCCAAGAATTCACCCCAGCTCGCTATTTGGTGGACATGGGTCACTTTTAAAACTTCATGGGTAAAGTTGGCAGCTTTTGTGGGGGATGGGAGCAACAAACCACCACATCCGGGGCCATCCGGGGGTCCATTTTAGAAGAACTTGCGAAGAAAACTCATCCATATATTTCTTTGAAACTTACAGACTGCTGGATTTTTGGAGATCTTAAAAACCCATGTTATTCCGAATGGCCTATCTGGGCCGGCCTATCGCCTATCAGACGTCAGCCCAAAAGGTGGCCACGGATGATGCGATGAATGCGAGCCAGGCGGGCGATTAGTGGGTGGCGATGGGTTTAACAAGGAAAACCATGCGCAAACATGGAATAATCTACGGTTAATCTATGGTTAATCTATGGTTAATCTATGGTTAATCTATGGTTAATAATGGTTAATCATTGGAATAACAATATAATCAATGATTACTGGTTGGTGGTTTGGAACATGAATTTTATGTTTCCATATATTGGGAATGTCAAGATCCCAACTGACGAAGTCATATTTTTCGGAGGGGTTGGTTGAAACCACCAACCAGTCGATGTTGTATGATTTGTCATTATCTAGACCCCCTATTGTAGGAAACCACCACTAACATAGATGTTCGAAAGATCGGGACGAATTGGTTTGACCACATTCGATGTTCAATTCTCATTTGGGAGCACTAACATGGATATTGGGAAAAAGGTGGAAAAACACCCAAAAGGCCCCTAACGTAGCTGTGGGGTCAAGAAATGAGACAGTATGCAAATTCCAGCTCACATAGATTTAGGAACCTGTCTAGGGTCATGTTAGTAACATTTTCTATGCTTTGAAAATGTGCAAAAACCCACAAACATGGTTGTGAACCCATGATTGGATCTATGTTAGGAGGTTATTTCTCCACTATCCAAGCTGCATTTTTCCACTAACATGGCTTTGAGGCTGGACGGCAGTTATGTTGGGTTCCAGGATTTTGTAAATGACATCCTCGTTTGTTTTAGGTAGTGTAGGATTTGTAGATAAGTTGTAATGGATGTCAATCTGAAAATGGATGCTGACAATCAGTTTCGTCTTCCAACTGAAATCTGCACTGGGCTACGACCATTTTATGGACAAACCTTTCATGTGTAGCTGTTTGAGTATATACCACAGGCTTACAGATGCTAGGACAATTTTGCCTGAAATCTTAGCTTTTGCCGCAGAATCTTAGGAGTTCTTGTTGTTTCTTCATCAAGCTCATGCTGGAAATCGCCATCCCCCCATGTTTGGCTGGTTGTTCCCATCCCCCCATGTTTGGCTGGTTGTTTGATTGTTTTTACTCTTCAACTTTTCCATGAATTTTGGAATGTTGGAACGATTTAGGCCAATCCCATCCTCATGTTGAATACAATATGTCCCAATATGTGTAAATCATTATTAAGCAATGTTTTTCTAGGGAAAGTTAGTATTAGGGCAAAGGGAGTTATATTGTATTTCCAGCATCCTTGGAAGATGGTATATCACATCTATGTTCTGTTATGTACATATAGTCATAGTATACCAGCGATTTAAAATCATTCATACTACCTCCAGACTGCAAATATGATATATCATGGTATGTCCATTGTAAATAAATTATTTGATCCCATTGTATACCCCCTTGTTTATCACATGCTATATCCCAATTAAATATCATCAGAGGATGGTATATTGTAAATTTCCAATGCATCTGTCGATCCTTTCGTGCCTCAGGTTGGAAGTGATTCGTGATGCCGCTGCATATCGGCTGGACAGGCCTTGAGCCTCTATTGGCTGGATGGTAGAAAAGAGGGTGAGCGTTGTTTGTGAGGTCATTTGACCTAGGAGCTAGAGGTAGGTAACCCCATAGCTGTTGGGCCGCTACCCGTGCTTCCGCATGGTAGCGGAGCCCTAGGCTCCAAGCCAGGGCATCCGTGCGCCAGCGCCGTTTGCTGGTGAGTTTGGCCATCAAGGTCAACACGTGCAGCACCGTGACCTTTGGTGCTGATCAACATGGAGAAGGACTCTGGATCATTCAGAGATCTTGTCTTCGATGGCAGACCTGGTAATTACCGAGAATTCCGGAGAAAGACAATCCTTGCTGTAGCTGGTTTAGAGGAAAGACATGTGCATTTAGCTGGACCGAGGTTGCTCACGAGACTTCAAGGAGAAGCCTACCGAGCCACTGAACACTTAGCAGTTGCGGACTTGCGCCGAAATGATGGTTGGTTGCAAGTCATTCGGGCCTTGGATACCCACTATGCCTTCTTGCCAGAGACTGAGTTGCATGAAGCAATTGATAGCTTCCTGTTTGACCTGCGGAAAAAGCCCCATGAAGGTGCCACAGCCTTTGCATCGAGGTTCAAAACAGCCTTGTCCCGAGTTCAAGCACTGATAGCCCAGGAGAGGCCAACAGCCAAGACCAAGAAAGTTGGAAAGAAAGGAAAGGGTTCTGTTGCCAGTGCCGAGCCCGACAATAGCAGCTTAGAACCTAGTGATGATGGGTCCGAACCAGGATCAACCAGTCGTGAGCCAGCAGCCGCCCCAGTTGATGCATCCGCAGAAGCATCCGGCCAAGCAGCAGGTAGTGTGCGATCTGAAACCCCTGCACCAAAAGCCGCAGCCTCACCGCCTGGTGATGCTGATGAGCAAAGAACTGCCCGGAGTCATGATACATCCGAGCAGAGACGTCGCCGTCATAGCAGTCGAGGTTCCAGAGGTACGCACTCAGGTGATAGAAAGAAAGAAGAGCTGAAAATGGCATACATGCTAGGAACCATAGAGGTTGGCCACACCAAGCCTTCGCCGATCTTTCCGTCCACTGTTTTGGGTCATTTGTTCATGCGCAAATATGGTTTGAGCCGAGAGCAGAGAGCCCAAGTCATCCGTGCCACTGGCGGTTCATCCCGCTTTGCAGAAGTCGAGAGGATTCTCCGTGCCTCCGATTTTGATGAATCCCGCAGCCGTCATGATGAAAGACGCCCACACATGCACCATGGCAGTTCCCGCACTCCCCGACGGGAATCATATGCAGTTGCCCACCGTGAGCACGATGTACATGCCATGGAAGATGATTCGTCCGATCTGCAAGAGCCTTTGACGAGTGGTTCAGGTTCCGATGATGCATACATGGCTGATCAACATGCTGAAGGTCCTCCTGACCAAGATGAGAATGATTCCGACTTGGAGTTGCAAGAGATATACGAGATGAAACAAAAAGCCAAGAAAGACTTCAAGAAGTCATTCAAGACCTACAAAGAAAGCCGTAGAAGGGTCAAGGAAATAAAGAAAGCAAGACAGCCATACTACCCAGTAGTTGCCTTGAGTCAGCCAGGTGATAGCAGTGCCAGCACTTTGCAGCCTGCCAATGCCTCATCTGCACCAAAGAAACAAGAGTTCAGGTATGACAAGTCCAAGCAGCAAAAAGTGTTTCCGCCAAAGCGTCAGCCACGGAAAGAAGATGCCCATTTCACCACTGGGACCGTAGCCACTGACTTTGCTTATATGGTTGTCACACAAGAGTGGAACAACGAAAGTCCTACCTTGGATGTTTTATTGGCCTCCATTCCCGATGGTTTTGCAATCATTGACACTGGATGCACTACAAGCGTGATAGGTCTTGACACTGCAGTTCGCTTCCAGAAACTCTTCGAGCAGAAGGGCCTCCCTAGCCCTGAAAAGTGCACTTTGCCAGCTGTTGAGTTGAAAGGCTTCAGTGGGGACCGTAGAATCACCACCTATGGACTGAAATGGACAGTGAAGATTGGAGAACTTTGGGGTACTATCACAACGTACGTGGTCAATGGCCCTACACCTTTTCTCTTGTCAAGGCGAGTTCTGGAAGGGATGGAAGCCAATCTGGATATGGGAAAAGGAACAATCAGTAGCACCAAGCATGGTATGAAAGATGTGCCGTTGAAACGTGCTGCAAATGGCCATTTCCTTTTGCCGTTTTGTGATGAGCCTTCAGAGTTTGAGCCCACATGTCCGCCTTCCTGTAAGAGTGCAGATGTAGCCATCACTGATGCCACAGATGGCTCACCTGATGTTGTCTCCGTGTCAGAGTCCGAGACTGCTGGATCCGAATCAGCAGTGCCAAGCAATGAGCCCAATGACAAAGCCGCAGAAGATGCCACAACATCCAGTTCCATGGAGAGGCGTGACAAACCGCCGTGCCGTCGAACTAGGAAGCAAGTTTTGCAACATGTTGTGAAGAACACTAGGAAGGGTGTTGTAAATGTGGATAGGTTTAGAAATGAACTTGTCCAGTTGTTTGGAAGTAGAGCCTCAGAATGCACGCATGCATATGTAGCATATAGGCCAAGGTTAGAACGTATTCCAGAAGATGCTGATAAGCAGCCATACTTGAGAAGTATCGCAACCCTGACCAGTGAGGGTGAAATGTCCATACAGCCATGGAACACCCGTGCCGCAGGCAGTGAGAAGGCCAGAGTTGTACAGACCAACATAGCCCTGTATGTTTACATCCCAGTGCAAGGTGTGCAGCTTCCGCCGAAGCCTGAATCCGAGAAACACTCCGGATGCCATTGTCTCTGCTGCAGCGAAGATGTTGACCCAAGTTTGCAACCGCCCATTCCCGATGGACCCGGATTAGAAACTGTCTATGAAGAAGTTGATTGGGTTAACTGTAACAGGGATAAAGTGGATAAAACTGTGGGGGATAGGATTAAGAAGAACATAAGATCAATAAGAAAACTGAATACCCAGGTAATCCTTTCCCGGCTTCATGATGAGTACGATCAGGTTCTTGACGAGTTGAGAAACTGGTTAGGTCCACAAGCTCCAGCCTTAGATAGCCCAGTTCACATGATCGAGGTGTTCACTGACCATGCACCACTTGCCAGAAAAGTTTCCGAACGTACTGGTAAGAGCAGTATCATTTTGGGTTTGAACCATGGACAAGATTTCAACAGACTTCAGGACCGACGTTTGCTCATGTACCTGTTAGCTGTTCTAAGGCCGAAACATGTTTGGTTTTCTTTTCCATGTGGTTGCTGGGGACCCTGGAGCCGTTTCAACATTGCCAAGGGTGGCAAATCACAAACCACAGTTTTGCAGCAGAGAAAGGAAGCAAGGCGCCACTTGCGTGCAGTTTCTGAAGCCTGGCAACTTCAACGCTTGCTCGGAGGACATTGTCATGCAGAAAACCCACTCACCTCAGAAGCATGGTCCGAGATTTTTGTAGGTGAAGTTTTCGATGTACGCATGGACATGTGCAGTGTAGGAATGCGATGCCCCAAGACAAATGTTCCAGTGCTAAAGCCAACTAGGATCATAACCACCATGAAGGAACTTGCTGATAGGTTGACTTCATGTCGTTGCGATCACAAACATGGTCATGCGCACTTGGAAGGTAAATTCAAGGGTCGAAACTTGTCGTCTTGGTGTGAAGTTTATCCCAACAAAATGTGTCGCATCATAGCCGAAGTCATGTCCCAAGTGAACATGGACCACTGCATGTCACATGATGTGTTGTTTGATGAAGATGATGATGAAGAAATGGAACAGCAGCAGCCGGATGAAATGGTTCCATACCAAGAGGGCGAGCCTCAGCCCTTAGCAGTTAGCCAAAAGATCAAAGCAATCGTCCAAAAACTTCATGTGAACACAGGTCATGCTTCACCAGAGCAAATGTTGCGTTTAGCCAAGCGTTGCAAGTCCTCAGCGGAAATGCAGACAGCCATCAAGCAGTTCAAGTGTTCCGTTTGTGAAGAGCTTAAGGTTCCCCAGAGCCGTAGGCAAGCCACCATGCCCCATGCTGAAAATCCTAATGACATAGTTGGAATGGATTATGTCCAGGTAGAACTTAAACGGGAAGATAACCAAGGGGTAATGAGGGAGATAAAACATAATGTACTGACATGTGTTTGCCTTGCCACCGGTTTTGCCCAGCAGATCATATGCCCAACAGGCCATTCCATGGCCGAAGCATTTCATGATGTGTGGGCCAGACCTTATGGCCTTCCCAATACGATATACATGGACCCTGCAATGGCCAATGTCAGTAAGGAGTTTCAAAATTACCTTGCTCAAAATGACATAAAGCTTTTGCTGGCTGCTGCAGAATCCCACTGGCAGCTTGGACTGGTCGAGGTGACCAACCGCGTGCTGAGACATATGGCCCAACGTGTCTGGAGAACCACTTCCAGACCTGCCAAAGAGGTCATAGAGACTTGTGCCACCACCAGAAATGAGCAGTTGAGAAGATGTGGATTCAGTCCTTCCCAATGGTTCCTTGGAAAAGACGGTCGCCAAGTAGGAATGTTGAGGGATTTAGATGAACAACACAACATAGCCACTGCTTCCCAAATCATCGAAAGTCCTGATTTCTTTGAAAAAGTAAGACTTCGAGAGCAAGCCGCAATTGCATTCCATGAAGAGCATGCAAAAGACATATGGCGCCGTGCCATAGGGGGAAGATCTAGACCAATAAGGGACCCTTACCAAGTAGGTCAACTGGTTTATGTGTTCAGACGCCGAGCCAGGGGTCTCCTTTCTACTAGACATGGTGTTTGGATTGGACCAGGAAAAGTGGTAGGCACAGAAAGTGAAAGCGGTGGTCCCACGCCACGTGTGGTTTGGGTGTCCTACAATGGATATCTTTACCGCTGCAGTCCAGAAGGTTTGAGACCAGTTCCCGAGGACGAAGCTGAGTTTAGAAGCCTTGCCAGATCCCTAGCCGAAGGGAGATTGCACCCAGAGCTGGAAAACGCAGAACAAAGTGTTTCAAGTAGGTCAGGCCAGTTTGCTGATCTCACCAAGGAACATGAGCCTATGGATGAGGACCATGAACTGGAGGAAGATCTATGGGAGGAACCTAATGATCCCGAAAAAGAACTTGATGAAGGTGCACCAAGAAAAATCCGTAGGAGAATCACTAGGTCCCCTGGATACTGGGAGCATAGGGCAGAGGGCGCGCCTCCTCTAGGACCCCTACATGCAGATGCTGAGATGCCAACAGTAATAAGACTTAAACCCAGTAGACCTGGTCCCCCAATAGATAATGAACCTGACCCAAAAAGAAAAGTCCAAATCAATAGTGAAGCAGAAGAACTTGAATATGAGCCGTCCATAGCCAGCGAAACACCTGAAACAGGTGATCCAGCCGTGCAATCCGAGCAAACTTCTCATGCTGATCCGAGCGTTGCAGCCCAGGAATCTCCAGCAGATCCATCAACCGATGGTGCCGATGCCATGAAACAACCAGATCCACCACCAGAGGAAGAACCTAACCCAATAACCACTCCAGTTCCCAATAATGGAAGTGATGACGAGTTACTCCTTGAACATGAAGATGCATTTCCAGTTCCCGACAAACATGAGGTCATGGAGGTGTCAATTGAGGTTAGACCAGATGACATAACTGAGAATCCACTGGTCCTGTGGGGGGTAATCGAAGACTGTTTCAATGTGGTTCCAAAAGCAAAGCAGCGAAAGGTAGAGATCAACTATAGGAAACTCAGCGTAGAAGACAAAGCAAAGTTCGAAGTAGCCATGAAAAAGGAGTGGCAATCTTGGATAGACAACAAGGTGACATCACTGTGCCATTCTAGAGGAATCCCTAGAGAACGCATTATCCGTGCACGTTGGGTATTGGTTTGGAAAAAGTCATCAGACCCTGACAATCCTTCACAAACCCCAAAGGCACGATTGGTGCTAGTTGGATGGCAGGATCCAGAACTGGGCCGTATCAAAACAGACAGCCCGACACTTAGAAAAGAGTCGAAAAATCTTATCCTTTCCATTTGTGCAGCCAAAAAGTGGAAAATATGGGGTGCAGATATAAAGACTGCTTTCCTTAGTGGGGATCCCAGTGATAGGCAACTTTACTTTAGGCCGCCTGATGAAATCAAGTCATGGATGAAACTTGATAGAGACCAACTGTTTCGCCTAGAGAAAGCCGCATATGGTTTGGCAGAGGCACCGCGTGCATGGTTCTTGCGCCTAAGCCGTGAGCTATCCGAGCAAGGACTACAGGTGTCACAGCTGGACAGATGCCTTTTTACCTTGAGAAACAAGAAAGGTGAACTGATAGGAATCTGTGGAGTCCATGTAGACGATCTTTTGGGAGGTGGAACCCCAGAAATGGATAGAGTCTTGGATTCCCTCAAAAAGAAATTGCCTTTTGGAGATTACCGTACATTCACAATCAGGTATACCGGGATTGAGATCCGTCAGAACCCCCATACTTATGAGATAGAGATAGGCCAGGAAGCTTATATAGATTCTTTACAGCCTATATCCACCAAGTCCTTGGGATCTGCAGGTACACCGATACGTGATGTTTCTCTCTTACGGCAGTGTGCCGGACAGCTGGCATGGGCCGCTGGGTCCACACGGCCTGACCAGGCATTTTTGGCTTCCTATCTTCAAGGGGTACAAGATAAGGGCACTGTCAGCCATATCACCATGTTTAATAAGGCCCTCCGTGAAATGAAAGAACGTAGGATAACCATTAAGTTTCCTTCAAATGTGCCGATTGACCAGTGGCGTATCATCTGCATAGGAGATGCAGGCCATGCCAAACGTGCAAATGGAGACTCACAAGGTGGTTACCTGCTAGGTCTCACCAATCCAAGCATGCGCGACCGCAAGCAAGCACCGATGTGGTTGGTAGACTGGGCCAGCAAAAAGCTGAAAAGAGTTGTGAAGTCGTCCACAGCGGCTGAAACTCATGCCGGAATCAATGCAATGGATGCAATTGAGTTCTTTCAAGCCTTGTTAGCAGAGACAATTCATGGTATAACCCCAAAACAGTTCAGACTGCAGGTGCCAAAACACACCGCCTTGTTGGCTGTGGATTCCAGAGGTTTTTACGATGCTGCAAGCAAGTTGAGCAGTGCGTCAACCAGTGAAGAAAAGAAATTGGAAATCGACTATGCCATAGCGCGTCAAGCCATGAAACTGCAGAATATCGAAATCTACTGGATAAACAATAACTACATGGCAGCCGACTGCCTTACCAAGCTGAATGGGGAAACCAGATTGTTGTTTGTTTTGCTTGAAACAGGGGTATATCAAATAAAGAGATGTCAAGAGTCCGGAAGTAAGGAGAGAGCCAGAAACCGCCAAGAGCAAAAGTGACATCCAGTCACAACATGTGTTGTACAGTTTTTCCAAACAAGTGCACTGTAATGACAAAGTCGTGTTTGCAGTGAAAAATTATAATGTAAACCATAGGACTGATGCCGTTGTACATGTATAGATGCATTCGTCCGCCAGCAGTGTTTTCATCAAACTCAAGCCGTGAGCCTAGAGCAACTAAGAGCCTGAGACTTCAAATTTCCGAGTCAAATGTCTCGCAAGATGCAGAAGTCCGATCCAAGCGCACCATTGACGCCAGATGAGTTCAATGTTGTGTGCCATCTCGTGACTCGTGCAGCCATGAATGGACAGAGTGTCGAGCTGTTCAACCTTCTCTTTCGTGAGAATCCTGGATTGAGCGACCTGGTGAAAGATGATGTAGCCAAGGGAGCCACCGGCAGCATGCATGCCAACGGCAGCATGCATGATGGCAGCAAGCGCCAGCGTGACGTGGCCGATCCTTTTGATTTTCCTGAAGGTGTGACAGTCCTTGTTCGTCCAAGTGGAGCGAGGTGACCAGCCAGCATCCTGACAAGCATGTCGGTAAGCTGACCATTTCCAAAGTTCTCCCAGGTGTGAAACTGCAAGAGAATGTGAAGATCCCACTGGGGAATGAGGTCACAGACATCGATGATTGGTCCACAACCAAGTTGACCATGAAGAAGTACGAGAGTAAGGGATGGAGATACTCCAATCTTGTGGAAGCCGCCAAGAATGACAAAGAGGTTCAGAAGTACATGACCTGGATTGTGAAGACTTACGGAAAGGACATTTCCGAACCTTGTGAGAATCAGGCGACCGATCTCGCCCGTTTCCTACTCCGTATCAACTGGTTGGAATTCCATGGAGGTGCTGGAGGTTATCGCCGCGAGCGTTAGATTTGTTGAGAAGTTTTTGTAGCAGCCTTTGCAGCCGCCTCTATGAGAGGGCGTGTAAATTTCCAATGCATCTGTCGATCCTTTCGTGCCTCAGGTTGGAAGTGATTCGTGATGCCGCTGCATATCGGCTGGACAGGCCTTGAGCCTCTATTGGCTGGATGGTAGAAAAGAGGGTGAGCGTCGTTTGTGAGGTCATTTGACCTAGGAGCTAGAGGTAGGTAACCCCATAGCTGTTGGGCCGCTACCCGTGCTTCCGCATATATAGTATAGTATCCCATGGTATATCAGGGTATATCCTTATCTGGTTGGTGGTTTCAAACATGATTTTCCATTTCATACATGGGATAACCTTTCCCATTGACTTTCATATGTTTCAGAGGGGTAGGTATGCCACCAACCAGTTATTAGTCTACATCAATAAACCAATTCAGATTCGAACTTGGAAGACCCCAGGGGTGGCGCAGCGCGGGTTCGCCCTGTTCCAGGCAGCCCTCCGGGAGTTAGCAGAGATGCTCCACAAGGCACGCGGCGGTTCCTGCGCTACGGGGTTTCCCAAGAAGTGGTGGAATCCCATCCGTCGAAACAGTTTCCCATTCGATGTCCCAATGATGTGGAAATTCCCTAAACCATGGTTTCTGGGATGTTTTATGTTGGGAAGGGGATTAGTGTAATTGGGATATTAAAACGAAACTAGATATTCAGAAATCATGATTCATGCAGGAGATGAAACCACAAATGACTGGGACCATAGAATGTCGCTGTCAACAATATTAGGGGGTGGGATCAATGGGAATGATAGTTATTTTTCATTTTTTGCAGATGGGATGAGATGCGGTGAGAGTGGGATTGTTATAGATGTAGTAGGATATATACCCATATGCAAATTTATTGACTGCATTTATTAGCCACCAATATGAATTGGCTCCGTCCAGCAGTTGCATGTGGGCTCCAAAAAATGTGAGGTTAAAGGGATTAATGGGGATTTGATGATACAGCGTGGGAAGTGGAGTGCTATGCCTTACACTATTTTGATCTATTTTGGACATCTTTCATCAACTTAGTCTCTCCAACCACGTGGATTTGTGAATAGCGGGAAGAACTATACGCGAACCTTAACTTTGTTTTTGTGCATATCTTCCGCTCGGAGTCCCTATTTGCTTCGCATTTGGAACAAAACTCCTTTCCTCGATCACAACTCAGAGAGGACGATGGAGGGAGGGAGAGAGAGATCCCATCCAAACGCCCCAAAAATCCATGGTCCCAGATTCCCAGATAGATGTAAATCCCGCAAGCCATGGCTTCTCGGAGGTGTTTAATATCAACAGGGTATGGGATTATTGGGGACCCTTTTCCCCGGGAAAAAATGCCGGTGTGTTGGACTTGTGTTGGACTTCCGCGATTGGAATGACAAAGTGGTCTCATTTCTTTGTGGAGTGGTAATGGTTCTGTTGTTCTCCCTAGCTCCCTAGGTTTCCATTTTCTTGGTTGTTTCAGATAAGTTGTCAGTATCTCCTGCCCATGTCGCTTGGCAAGCGTGGTATGGCTAGAGAGCTACTCTGCACTCAGAAGACGCAGCTCAAATCCTTTCAGGAACTCGCAATTTGGAGCTGGCTTGAGCCCTTTTGGATCTCTTTTCAATTTATGACGAAAACAACCGGAGTGTTCCGCTGAAAAACAGCTTGCAGAGTTTGCGCAGTGGGACAACACACAACTTGGAAAGCGACGCCTGTACCGTCAGAACATGATTTTTTGTTCCACCACATATGGGACGAGTACGGCACACTAGTGTTTGCATACCAGAGTTTCCAGTTAGTTCATCTTAGATAGAATTTCATGAAATTCTATCAAATCCCATTAAATCCCATGTAAAGTCCAATTGAAAAACCCCATTGAAAACCCATTAGAAAAATCCCATTGAACACCAATTAAAAATCCAATGAAAAATCTCACTTCGAAATCCCATCTATGTTCCTCGGCTTACACAACGCCACCAACGCAAGGCCAAGAAGGAATGCCGCATGAAACAGAGCCAGAACTGTTTGCCCCTGCTGCAGGACGGAAAAAACTAGATTCTATTGTGGTTGATGTCGGCTGCAGCATGAGGATTTCACAATCTGTGGAATGTGTATACCAATATATATATATATACATATATATACATATACATACACATGCATGACATGTACTATCTATATATTACATATGCATGACATGTATTATCTATCTACATATATACAGCCAGGAAGTGCTGCCCGGGTATGCATATATGTATACATTATGCAATAGAAAAAAAGGGATATGATTGGTGCAAATGTACATACAGATCCATTAATTGAATACATATAGAGAAAGAATGAGGATGTAATGGGTACAGCAAACCCCAAAAAGATGCCATCCAGATTGTTTCCAGGATGTGAACAAAGATGTTTTACACTTACTTCACACTTCCAAGTTTTACACTTACTTCACACTTCCAAGATTCACATTGTGTCTTACATTAAATAGTTCTCGTTTTTGGCTGCTATATATATATATATATCGGCATGTAACCAATGCCAATGATGTTTACTGTTTGGTAGCTTCCAGCCATATCTTTGATCAAAGATCTGGCTGAACAGATCTGAGATGGTAGTTTTTTAATGACCAGCCATGTTCTTCAGAACATGAGTTAGCCGCTATAGCCGTATGGCCCCAGAACATGGCCCAGGTAACTATTAAGTACTATCAACTGCCTTGCTTCGAGATTAACAAAAGAACATCAGGAAGAACCCAGTCCATCCCAGTTTGTCAGGCTGGGCTCGCTAGCTTTACTATAAGTGGTATTGCTGCGAGTCTAGCTTTGGCAAGTTTGGGCTATATGTGGTGTAATTTTGTAGCATCGAAAGGTTCCTTATCTGTTTGGCGATTCCAAATGTTTGAAATGCTCTGAGCCAGACCCGTGCCAGCCCCTTGGAAAGTATGACTACTCCTACATGATGGTGCCGCGAAGTTTTGTTTGTCGGTTTATCACCTATCTAACTAATTTCAACCCATAAACTTAAACCAGACTTAACCTACACGTATTGACGTTCACTATGGGCACCTGTTCTGAGGACTTACGCAAGCGGATGTGGCCCTACGTCCTGGGGGAACTGGCAGAGACCGGTGCAGGCTTAGACTTCGCTCCCAATAAGATCCTCGAGGTCTGAAGATTTTGCGCCGCTGGCGGAAGGGATTTTGGAGTTGGGTCGATTGCAATTTACTGTTCTCACTGGAATGATGGGAATTGGAGGGAATTGTCCCATAACCAAACCTTTCAGGTCAGTGAAATATTCGAACTTACCCAGTTGGATGGTAGGTTGGGGATTCCAAGTTGGAGAATCGTTTGCACTTCGACTTTGGCTCAATCCTGCAGCCCAGAAATGTTATTTAGATAAATTTTACCACGAAAAAGGCACTGCATTTCAAGTTTAGGAAAGGCGGATTTCTGCGATGGGCTGCTTGTGGCTGTGGCTGCTGTGGTTGGTGAGTTAAGGGATGGATATGTCCATCATGGAAGCAATGGAAGCAGGTCCCAACATCATTTTGTAGGAAGTGTATGAGCAAGTTGACTCAAGTTGACCTCTTCCCATGGTGAGTTTCCTGCTGTTTGTGGTTCTGGCACGTTCTGTAGCTTCACAAGATGCATGTATTACAAATATAGAAATAGATACTTCTATAATATTTACACATATTCATTCATTCATTCATTCATTCAGTCAGTCAGTCAGTCATTCATTCATTCATTCATACATACATACATACATTCATACACTCATTCATTCATTCATTCATTCATTCATTCTTTCTTTCTTTCACCCATTCATTCTTTCATTCTTTCATTCATTCACTCATTCATTCATTCATTCATTCATTCATTCATTCATACATACATACACTCATTCATTCATTCATTCATTCATTCATTCATACATACATACATACATTCATACACTCATTCGTTCGTTCATTCATACATACGTACATACATTCATTCATACACTCATTCGTTCATTCATACATACATACATTCATTCATACACTCATTCGTTCATTCATTCGTACATACATACATTCATACACTCATTCGTTCATTCATTCATTCATACATACCTCCGCACATTGATGAAAAGATCGCCTTGATGCCGCAGGCAAAGGGGCAACGGAGCCGACAATTCTTGCCCAAGAAACATGTGCGCTTGGCAGGCCCAAGCTATTGACTTCGACTGGGCAAGCGCCCTACCGCCAGAGCTGCCAGTCGAGGGGGCGAAGGCCGCCGAATACCATCATCACATATCATTCGTGTCAGTTGCATCGTTTCCTGTAAGTTTGTGCAGGTGATGTGCGGCCGGTGTGGGGAACACCTTCTTGTGATCTACCTCTCCGCGCCGGTGGAGGAGGTCTACACCAGGACGCTGGAAGCCCTCTGCCAGGCCAGGTGCACAGCACGTATCATATTGAATGTATCGCTGCCGCTGCGGAGGCCCTTGGCGCACTACCTTTCACTCCGTTGAATGCGGAGGCAGCCGTTGAAGCCCGAGTTTGGGTAGGAAACGCGTTCATCGGCAACGCGCCGATGAAGCCAGAGCTGCAGTGACGCGAGAAAAAAGGCAATGGCCCATTCGGTTTAGCCGTTTTTGAGTTTGTGTCTACAACCATCTCATGTACATACACACGCACACATACAAGCACCCCGTAAACTCATCTTGCTCGCACACATCAGCACCAGCACCAGCACCAGCACCACCGCCACCACCACCAACACCACCACTGCCACACAACATCACAACATCACAACATCACAACACCGCAACGCACCAGCAGCACCAGCAGCAGCAGCAGCACCACCACCACCACTACCAGCACACACGCACAAGATGCCCCAATGACATATCGCACATCACAACATCACAGCATAACCCCATACGGCATGACGCTATGCAAGCATGACACCGCAACAACATCACCAACAACATCACCAACAACCCAACCAGCAAGAAACCACCAATCACCAACCACCAACCACCACCATCACCACCACCACCAGCACCAGCAGCACCAGCAGCACCAGCACCAGCACCACCACCACCACCAGCACGCACGCACAAGATGCCCCAATGGAAGCGCAACGCCACAACATAGCAACATATCTCCACGCAACATGTTGCAATGCGGGAATGCAAGCTTAACATGCAATCAATCAATTGATACAACTACATAGAAGTGTTGTACAACAACCCGCAGAATTGGTTGGATCACATGAATGATTTGTAGTGAGAAATCCTCGTATGCAGACCTATAGTTCCAGGGTTAATGCCGTTTCTGAGTGGTCTATGTAATCCCGTTGATAGAAGACACTAGAATGCCAAAACGCGTTCACATTCTTGCTACGGCAGTCACTGATAAAGAGGGTACTCTGTACACTTATGTAATCCTGTTGATACAGAAATGCTATGAAAGTCAGTGCGCGTTCACTTTCCTGCTACAGCAGTCACTTCTCTGCAAGCCTTAGGACCTGACGGAGAAGCGCAAGAAGAGGCTTTTGCGGAGGACCTAGCTGCTGCTGCTGATGCTGCCTCACAGCCAGAGCCACATCCCACAGAAACCGCAGCTTCTCCCAGTGCCAGCCAACGCAGATCGGCCGCCAAGTCTTCTGCGCGCCCATCTGAGCAAGTGGACCTTCGGCCGGAGCCGGATCTGCCGCAGGGTCCACCCAGTGTGAAGGCGGAGGAGGATGGAGATGAGGAAGGTTTAGTGGAGGATTCCACCGACGAGCGAGGAGCTGGAACATCCGATGCTGACTTTCGAGCGCATTTCGACACTCTGGTTGCTAGCAATGTTGATTTTCAATCTGCTCCCACAGAACATGTTGACACATCTGATACCATCCTTGAAAAGGTGAAGTATTGGACTCAGCAGGTTGAAGCCCAGTTTGCTGCAGAAGTTCCCGATTATGTGGTGCGCCTCTGCGTTGGGTATGTGTATATGTATACGTATATGTATATGTAAATGTATATGTGTATATGTATATGTATATATGTATATATGTATATGTATATGTATATGCATATGTATATGTATATGTACATGTATATGTATATGTATGTAAAAATACATATGTACATATACACTGACACTGTGGATGTGATATGTGTATGTATATATATATATCTCTCTCTCTCTCTCTATCGATCTGTGTCTGCGGAAGTATGTGTATATAAATATGCATTTTTGAATACATATAAGTACTTTTGATATGTATATAAATATGAATAAAAATGCATGCCAGTAGTGCCGCACAATGCAGTGGCGGAAGTTTCAAAAATAGGAAACCTTTCGGAGAGATTGGTTGTTGTGAATCACGGATGGCAGAGCGAATCCACTGATGGACCGCGAGGTGGTTGGAGCTGTGTTTTTTGGAGTGGCTGCAATGGTTGCAGTGGTCACCATACATTCATACACTCATTCGTTCATTCATTCATTCATTCATTCATACATACATACATTCCTATATTTATATATATATATATGTATTCTATATCTATACCATTATATCATATAACTTAACTACATGTATTT